CAGTGAAGGACAGGAAGGCCTGGCGCAATATGGTTCATGGGGTCACGAAGAGTTAGACACGTCTTAATGACTGAACAACAACAACAATAGTAGGATTATATTCTGCTTATACCTTGAATAATCAGGCATTTGTTGCATCATGATTGACTGATACAATTTGTGGAATGCATGACTAATTTGAAAAGTTTTCAAAACCTCTAGTTGGGGTAGTATGAGGCAGTACACAATACCAAGATCACCTTATGGACTTTTTGAAAGATCTGGACATCTGAAGACTGCTTGTCTCCAATTGTTTCCGCCTGCCCAGTGCATTCTGACAGAGTGGGTGCATTCTAAGGTTCTCTCTATTAAACCTTCTCAACTTGTGGAAACAAGGAAGCATGTCTTCTTGATTGCAGCCCCAATCCTCTGGAAGAGCACACCCCACCCCACCCCCAGAGATAAGGGCTGCACTCTCTTTCCTAGGTTTCCAAAAAACTCTTAAAACCTGGATTTGCTAGCAGGCCTGCGCTCGATGTATGAATGTATTATTCTATTTCTGGGTCTCCTGTTTTCTTTGAAATCTGTTCTTTATAATAACATTTTTACCTGGGCTATCTGTGTGGTTTGATGTTTTATCTGTGTAATAATATGTGGGAATGACCTTGGGAAAAGGAGAAAGAGCAGCAGCCTGGTAAATGGTCTGACAAGTGAAATGTGAGGCTGAAGTAGGGGATGGAGAAAGTGTGTCACAAGTGATCCTCCGTAGTTCTGGGGAGAGTAAAAGTAAGAGTTGAAGAGCTACTTTTAAATTTGCAAAATTCTGTTACTATAACCTTACAATAAATGTAGTATTGGTTCTCATGGTTGGTGCTTCTGGTCTGGACTAACTCAAAGGGCTGACAATATGTTTTTATGGATTTGTTTGGTTTGGTATGTCACCCAGAGTCCCTTGGATCTGGGCAGCTAATAAATTCAAATAAAGAAATGAATGAATCTGCATTGGTATTAACACACTGATGTTAATACAGTATGTTTAAGAGGTGGCTGATTGCATTGTGAACTTCCTTTTATATAACCATGCAGAGGAGAGATTCTTCTAAAGATTGTCTTTGCCTTGGCATTTAGAACATCACTTAAGACATACCTCTTTAGCCTGGCCTTGAATGAGGACACTTTCTACATTTGTAATTTATCTTCCTTCCTTCCTTCCTTCCTTCCTTCCTTCCTTCCTTCCTTCCTTCCTTCCTTCCTTCCTTCCTTCCTTCC